TTTTTTTTTTTTGAGCTGGAGCCTGGCTCTGTCCAGGCTGGAGTGCAGTGGTGTGATCTTGGCTCACTGCAACCTCTGTCCCCAGGTTTCTGGTGATTCTCCTGCTTCAGCCTTCCAAGTAGCTGGGATTACAGACTTGCACCACCACACTCGGCTATTTTTTTTGTATTTTTAGTAGAGATGGGGTTTCACCATGTTGGCCAGGCTGGTGTCAAACTGCTGACCTCAGGTGATCCACCCGCCTCGGCCTCCCAAAGTGCTGGGATTACAGGTGTGGGATTACAGGACTACTGTGTTCACCCCCTAACCACTTCTAAACCACCTGGGGCCCGTCCTCACTTTTCTTACCCCAGACACACAAAGCTCAGCACCAGCAGCATCTGCACAGGAGAGCTTGCTAAGATTTTTTTTTTTTAATCCATCATTTTGAGCTTGAGACTTTTTTGGAATGAGAATAAAATAAAAACTCTGGCCTGTGTGCAGCGTTAGGTGCCTGGAGTTAGTGAAGTGAAGGTGAGACCCCAGACTGGCCCACTACCCTCCCTTTTCTTCATGTCTCTGGTAACTAAACTCCACAGTGGGGGTTGGTTAGAGGTGCGGATGAATGTCATGTCTGACAAAATAGCTCTTCTCTGCACGCTGATGATGATGTGAAGTTTTACTCTAGAGTTAGCTGTTAACGTGACATTGGGATAAGGTTTCTCTGTATCTCTGTTGCCTGTTAACTGTCCCCGAGAAGAAACTGTTTACATCTTGCAGATGAGGAGTCCAGGAAGGGGGAATGTGTGTTTCTGTGTCGTTTCAGGTGTCAGATAGGCATGCTTGGTTAGAAATCTCCTGGGTCTCTCTTACATGTTTGTAAATCCCCTAGAGGGGTGTTCCTGCCATGTGATATTCATATGGCCAGTGACATTCTAGGGGCTGGTTTTTGTGTTTTTATTATTTCAAGGAGAGAGTAGCTTCAGAAGATTCAAGACCAAAGTCCTGCCAGGCAGAGTGTCTCACACCTGTAATCTCGGCACCTTGGGAGGCCAAGGAGAATTGCTTGAACCTGGGAGGTAGAGGTTGCAGTGAGCTGAGAGCGTACCACTGCACTCCAGCCTGGTGACAGAGTAAAATTCAGTCTCAAAAATAAAAATCCACCAAAGTCTGACCACACTGATTTGGCATTTTCCTGAGAGGGTCTCCCATTAGCATTACTGGAACAGTATTCCAGATTTCTGTGGGTGTGCATGTGTCTATGGGAGACTTCAGGGTCTTCAGGAACTGTGTGTGGCATTCTAGCAGTCCTTTTGCTGCTCACACAGACACAGCACCTTGCCTGTGGAGACGCTGTTGATGTGGGGAATACAGAGCCCTGGTCCCGCAGGGACACAGAGCAACACAGTCCCTGCTGAAGCTGAAGGACAGAGGAGGAGAGGGCAGAGCTGATGGGCCATTGTAAGCTAGGGACCAGTGACCAGTGCTGCCTCAGCAACTGCAGGCTGGGATGTGCTGGGAATTCCCAGCCCAGCAGAACACAGATTGTCCATGAAGGGGAGAGGCAGGCCAGCCAGTGGGGACAAGGAGGGGCAGTGGGGCTAGAACCCCAGAGATAGGGTACCTGTGCACAGCAGATTTCCCCGTATTTGGGCTGTTAGTCTTGGGGACCCAGGACATTTCCTGTAGACAGGTGGGGAGGTGCTCCACGCCGGCTGGCCTTAGGTGTCACTCTCATTCCCAAACTGGGTTGTGGCAGAGATGTTTCCAGAATGAACTGAATTGCCAGTGGAAGATTCGTATTTAAATGGTATATAAGAAATGTGACTACTTCAGATTAGAAACTCAGTTTTTCTTAGTTCTTAACTTTAATTATGTTAAATTAATTTTAGGAAAACAGAAGGCAAGAGCCTGTTGATAGTTTCTAAGAATAGGTTTCATTGAGTAAAGCTTTTAAATGCATAGTCACTCTACATTTTATCTAAGGTTATTGGACTGTGAAGTGGAATCTTACAAGTGTACAGATTGGATTAATTGTCTGGGATGTGCTGCCGTTTTTCTGTTACAGCTCCAATAGTTAATTATTTCTGCCCACAACATAGATCTGCATCTAGAAGATACTAGTTTCTTCATCTACTCATTAGTAAATGCTCATGATTCCTTGAGGCCTCTTTGAATGAATGGACTGATGAACCTGAAAGTTCAAAAAGGGTTATGAGCCCATGTGGTCTCACCAGCGTCCACTGATGACTTAGTGGCTCCACGTGGGGGACATTGGTAAGGTCCTTCCAAGGTCCTGCACACCAGGAGCTCCCTCCAGCATCCTCTGAGTGTCTTGGGTGTGGGTCCTGCTGACCCTGCCCAGGCTGCCCTTTGCCCTCTGCAGCTGTCAGGCTTACTGGTTATAGGGAACCTAGATCTGTCCTTCATTGACTCAGAGGTCATTCCTGTTAACATGTTGATATCTTTTCTTTGCTTTTTTTTTTTTTAGC